TTCATTCCTGCCCCAAAACAAAGAGCCCAGCCAATGTGTCAGCGGCCCCCGGGACCTGGGCCCCCGGACCTGGCCTGCGGAGGCTGCACTTCGGGGAGGGACCCTGGGGAGGATTGCTCACGGAGAGCAGAGGGGGCTGCGGGTTGAGATGGGGTGTCACGGGCGCTACTCCCCAATCAGGACCTCGCCCGGGGCCACATCTCTAACGCCTCCTGGACAAGAGACTTTGCACCCCGGTCACAGGGTCACACGCTGCATCGAGTCTGCCCTGGTCGGAGGTGGGGCATCTGCGGGCATTCGCGGCGGCGGTGTCTCACCCTCACCCACAGCCCGAGGTGCAGGCACAACCTCAGCACCCACAGGTCTCACCCGGTGACACGGCACCAAGTCCTGGCCCAGCTCCCAGGGGAGGGGCATCTGAGCGGGTGTCATAACCTCCCTTTTGCAGCGCTGGCCCCTGAAGAGACCCTGGTTCCGAAGGGCGGTTCGGGCCCAGGAAGCTGCATTTCAGGGTCAGAACCCTCCAGAGCTGTGCCCTGGAAACGGGAGCCTGGCGGGCAGAAGCAGGGTCCCAGAGGGTCTGCCCGGGAGCGCCCTCTGCCACAGGGTCCCGCCCACGGGGGTCAGGGACTGGAGGAAGCTCCTCTTGCCGGCCCCCAGGCCACGCGGCCGGGCTGGCCTCCCAGAAAGCCACGTGGTGGCCGCTACTGTCCTGGCCGCCCCGCTGGCCGAGGCGGAGCGTTGACAAGAGTGGAGACGCTGCTTGTCCACCGGCCTCGCACCTGACCTTCTCTCTGACGTCCCGAGGGCCCCAACCACGGGCGGCGTCCAGGACGCGTGGACAGGCCCCTGTGCTGGTCAAGGTACCCCCATCGAGAGCTGAGCCCGGCGCCCCAAGGGGTAGGGCAGGACCTCTGGCCAGGGCCTCCTGGTGGGGGATAGAGAGGAAGCTGCCAGCCTGGAGGGCAAGGCTTGCCCACTTCCGACCTCACCCTGGTGGGCTCCGCACCCAAACTGGCGGGTGGGGTAGCTGCCCGAGCTCCAGGCAGAAAGACCAAAAGCCTCCGGCGAGCCTGTAGGAGCCGTCCCTGCACCCAGGGACAGAGTGGGGGGACCTGCAGGGACCTGCTCCGGGGCCAGGGAGCAGACCTGGGAGGCAGGAGGCCACGGGGCAGTGCTAATCCAGCCCTAGCCCAAATACCTCCTGCTGGTTCTTCCAGCAGAAGTCAGGCTCCTCTGTGAGGAGAGGCCGGAGAGACAGCTGGCGGGGCGGGGCGGCCGGGGTGACAGTGAGCAGCCCCAGCGGGCTCTCTGCCTGGTGATCAGGGGAGAGACATGGGGCTTCCGATCTGTTCCCACTCACCCCCTGACAAGCTGGATCTAATTTCAAAATCCGGGGCCGCAGGGGGCCAGGGGCAGCAGGGGAATACCGGTGTCTCCTTGCTAACTGGGGTTTTCTTTCATTGCATCACTCGCGGCGCCTTCAGAAAGCAGGAGGGCGCTGGCCGCAGCTCCGCAGCATCCCAGCCAGAGCTCGGCGGGGACCCGGCCTCGTGCATTGGCCGGTCCCCAGCCCTGGGCGGTGGCGGCCAGGCCTCCCCAGGGTTCCCATCCAGGCTGTCCACAGCTGTGGGGCTGTCGGCCGCTGGCTGCAGCTCTCTGTGCCTTGATTTCCTAATCCGGGAAATGGGACCATGAGAGCAGCTACTGTGCCTGGAAGCTGGCCTTACCCTGCCAGAGCGGGCAGGGTTGCTCAGACCTGGCCACCCAGCTGAGATAAAGATCTCACTCATCATCTCACTCATTGTGGCCGCAGGAATCTGGAACTGGAAGAACCAGTAAGCCCTCCCAATATGAGGGGGAGGTGCCTGTGCCAGCTGTGAGCCGCAGGGCAGAGGGACAAAGGCAGGGAGGGCAGGGGCGGCAGGGACGTGCAGCAGGAAGAAGGAACGTGGTCCCGAGAGCCATTCAACAGGACCCGGCTCCCGGCCCCAGGCGCCCGGGCCTTCCAGGCCCAGACAGAACCCCCCATCCCACCTCCGCCACTGCAGCCTGGCTCTCTCTGGCCTGAAGGCACAGGAGGGGCTGTGCCAGTGATCAGGTAGCCAGGGCGGCCAGGGCCCCACCTCACCCAGAGACCAGGGCGCAAATGCCCGCCAAGAACGCGCACGCACAGTAAACAAGCGAGGAGCCGGGCACAGCAAGCCTCCTCCTGAATTAAACATTGGGGACTTGGGTTCTACGTGCTGAGCTGGCTCTCCCGTCTGAACAGAATAGCTATTTATATGAACTGCCGGCAAACTGGGGTTTGGATTCGAGGTCCGGCCCTGTTTGTGCACCCCCTGGTCCCCCTGCAGCTGGACCGGCGGCCCATCACCCTCCCAGAGATGCAGGCGTGGCCAAGCCCCCACGACCTGGGCGGCTGCAGGAAGAAGTGAGGCCCCGATGGACCAGGCCCGGGTACTGGGGTGGGCATGGAGGGTCCGCCCTCTTCCTGAACCAGGGGCCGGCCTCCCAGCCACGCCCACACCGGAAACCCACCGTGGGGCCTGAACTCACCTGCTTGCGGGTGGGGGCTGGTGCCTAACATGCAGGCGGGCAGCAGACGGTGGCTTCAGGCCTTGCTGGGGCGGGGAGGTGCCCAGCCCTCTGTAACCCGAGCCTGAGTGACAGGCCCGCTTCCCATCGGCACAGACGCATTAGTCAGCAGGCAGGCGGGGAGCCACCACCTCGGGGAGGCCTGACCTTAGACCAGAGTCTGGAGGCAGCCTGAGCAGGAAACAGG